CCTTCAGACTTGTTATACAAACACAAAAGCTATCACTCATAACTACATTTATTAAACTTTGAAGATACTTTTTATTTTTCACAAGTGCAGAAGAACTCAGAGATCCTGGAACCTAAAGTACTTATTTTCAACTAATGGATTTAGTATTTGCCACCCTGCAGATTTCCCTTATGTGCAGAGTCACTGTCACAACTTAGCAAGGAGACACACAGGTGACCTGGGTCACTAATACAGAAGTAATGCAAATGACTGAGAATGCTTCTTCAATGTGAAGAAGGAAAAAGTTGAACACAGAAACTTCTTCTTTCCACAAAGATGAATTGACTGGAGGCCAGCCTTGTACATGAGTTATTAATACATTATTTATTATCCACATGCTAGAAAACGAGGTAAAAATCTTAGTATCAAATTTGTTAAAGCATTCAATTAATTTTAGGAACCCAAACTGTAGCAAGCACGTCACATATTCCTAGCACGCCAGAATTCACAGCAGCCCTCCAGGCCATTCGGACTCCTGGCACCGGTGTCCCTCACTTCCAAAGATGAGTCCTCACATGGCTACTATAGAGCACAAACTAGTCAACTCTAAAGATACCGCTTAAATGATATGCACAGAGACTTTATGCCAGAAGCCAGGACAACTCTCATTTCCTCAAGCCAGCATCTGGTTCCCTCACAGCTAAAGACCTGTAAGAGCAAAGGAAAAGCCCTGCTGCATCAGACCAGAGTTCTATGTTGCATCTAACCTCTCTAACACTGGCTTGTTCTAGACACCTAAACTGAGTTGGTTTTGTCTTTGACTCCATTAGCACGTGCCCATCTCCCCTTTACTAAGACACACCACAGTCCTACCCAAGCCTCTCACATTCTGGATATTTCCCTTGCTACCACCTCCATCCTACCAACTCCTCTGTACCCTGGCCTCTGCATTTCTTCTCATTAGCTACCACCACTTATCCTAACCTCTTCTTCAGCTGGCTAGCTCTTGGGCTCCTGCTGCCAAAATCCACACAACTATTTTCATTGTCTATGAAAATTAGGAGCAGAATTTTCAAAAGAACATAGGCCAATGCTAAACATTTTTACAAATCCTGAATTTATATGAAAAAAGTGTTATGTGTATTTGTCATCATCTGAATTCTGTAGCCTAAGTTTAAGTTCCAGGATTATGTAGCATCATTATATAAAAATCATACTTAAAATCCCTATACATTGAACAGTGGAGGGTTTATTTACTTCAGGGAAGAAAGACAAGTTTTGGATAAAACACTGCACTGAAACTAAGAAGACATGCTTATCCCAATTAGTGTGATTTTGGGTAAATGACTCAAAGAAGAAACAAGACATAGAGGAACTATCTGAGCTATGCTAGATAAAATATCAGCCAACGTGACCACAGTCGGCCCTTCTGGCCACTGAAATATTAATGTTAATTAACAGACTTGCCTGTAGATTCTTAAGTAGCACTTTCCATGCCAGACATTCCTTACATTGCACGGTGAGTTGGGCTCTGCCCAAACCCCATCCAAACCCGAGACCAGGTCATACAGCCTGCTAGTGTTATATGTATGATTTAAAATAGCCTTCACAATGCTGCCACCGATCACTGTATCATCTTCAGGATGTCCTTGAGGGGAGAAGGGAGGATGTGTCTTTGGAGGACTTTGGAACCAGTGGAAGGCGATGGTGCAAATGGCTCTGGGATTACTGAGATAATGCCTGCCTTCCCCTCTCTGGCGTAACTTCTGCTCCATACTCTGCTTGGGATACGTGGACTCAGCACAGGCTCTTAGGTAACACGCTATGACGAGAGGGAATACTTCCACCAGCAAGGCTGAAGAAGAGCACAGCCTGCTTCCAGACCCCTTCTTGCCCTGCTCCTAGAAGAAACAGGTCACACCACCATGCTACTAGTATACAAAGTGCCAACCCATCTCTCGGCTCTGTTTCTTAACTAGACTGTAAGCAAAGCACATGGTTTCCATTTAGTTTAGGACTCATGGAGAGACTGTGGAAGTGAATGCACTACATGAAACTCTGGTTTTGCTATTGACATACATATAACTGCATCGGAGTGACCTCACTGACCAGTACTCCTAAGACAATCTTTGACAGACTTATTTTCATCCTAAAATTCTCTGCAAGTCTTGAGTCTTTCTCAAGTCTTCAGTCCATCCATTTCTAGTTACAGTCCCAGAAACTTTCCTATTGCTAGTGCTTTGGCAGAAAAGAGACAAGCAAAAATGTCATCTGAGATGGAGGTTGTAATTCTGTCCCCAACCTGATGTTGAGGCATCCGTTTAAAATGTACATGTCTCAAAAGCTATGTATTTCCCTTTTTGACATGCACTACACTGCTACTCACAAGAAGGAATTACTGGTCTGCAACTTCACAAATACCTTTTCAGCAGAAAGGATCTCATGCATTATTGTACTTAAAATATCCTTCACCATCTGAAAGCATTACTGTAAAGATTTATTTCATATTGCCTATGTCCTTAAGAAATAACATTTGTAATGACTTTGCAAAGAGGTGCATTTAACTATCATTCCCCTACCTTGAAATTTTGCTTAATGAGGCCTATCTTAAACAGGCTCAACTCCCAGGGCTTTTTGCCAGTCCTCTCTGCAGCCCGAGTTTTCATCTGCACCTTCCGAAAGGTTGATTTAATCGGGCATGATAATTATTCTGTATTTAATAATAAAAACTTGTATATAATACTAGATTTACCTGGGCATCTGTTTTTAAGGCTTTTTTAAGACACTCATTTTTAATACACCCAAGGCCCTTCTGACAGTGAGGACGATACAAATCTGGCTATGACACAAGATACAGAGTGGATCTCCTAGCAGCCTTGACTTTTGTCCCTCATCTTCCCCATCCCTTCCACAGCCAGGCACAGGTGTATTCAAAGGGCTAACTAAATACTAATTATGTCCAGGCTTACATTAAACTCTTCTGATGGCTTTGGTGGAACAAAGGGCAAGCACAGAGAGAGGTTCCTGCATGCTATGCACATACCCAGAGATGAAAGTCTCTGAGAAAGCCTTGTTCCTCCTGTTCTGTGTATGACTAAACATGCTACACTTCAGAAGGGGATAAAGAGGCAGTGACTTTGACCATGTGAAATCTCTGGGTTCTTGCTTTCATTTCCCCTTGTCTACAATTTTTTCCAGCGACAATATAACTCCCATTCTAAAGCTCTTTTTCTGAATATGATGCTAAATGGCTCTCTCCTATCAATAAAGGATGCTGAAAATACTCTCTCTGGCCATGAAACAATACATGCTGTCTATCGAAAGTGCCCATTAACAGCTTACTGGATCTTCTTCCTCCATTCCGCTACATGCCTGATAAGACTTGACAGTACATAACTTGAAAAAAGGAATACCAATTACCCAGATCTATGTCCCTCTCAAAGTCCAGCAACGCCGCTTTCCCATTCCCTTTTCTTCCTCCCCACTGCTAATGACCAGAGATACTGTGGAAGAGCGTGTGGTCTGACTCTGCTACTGTTACCTGTCCTGATCTGCACTGGCTCCCATCACTTGGGGCACAGAAACACGGGAGAGCTCCTCAAACTAAAATGCCTGGGGTTTTGCATCTTTCCATCAAGGTGCAACTTGCTGCTTCTCCGCTTCTGCCATTACCACTCCTGAGGTAGCAGCAGCTGCTCTGCACGTGGTGAGCAGATACACTGAGCGTCGTCGCGGCGAGGCAGCGGGAACAGCCACTGCCACGCCATCTCCTTCCTGCTCCCCAGGAGGTATTTCTTCTGCCTCACCAAGGATCCCCTCTGATTTCATTGATGAGAGAGTAAAAAGAGCTAAGTCCTAGTTAACTAGCGAGCAGGCAGTCCCGGCGATGCACCTCTGTGCTCCTCTGGAACAAGCTGATCACAGAAACGTGCTGATGCAAATAAGTGGTGCGTGAGTCGAGCACCCGGTACGACGCCCGTACGGTTCAGAGAACGGGTTTGGTGTCTTCTGCATCTGTGTTATCGCACCCGAGAACAATGACACCAGTGCCCAGGGGAGAGCATCCTTGGAGCTCTGGAACAGAAAGTCCTCTGAAAACCCTGAGGATCCGTGAGATCCGAGTCATTTCCAAAGCGCGGGTCTGTTCACAGTCCCCCCCCCCCCCCCGGCAGCGTGGTGCCGTACGGTCCACCACACTTTCTGACAAGGCTCAGCTATCTCTGCAGCCACGGAGGACACCCTTTCGCCAAGGTCCCTGGCTCATTACGTTAATGAGTCGCGCGCTGGGCTCCCCCCTGCCCCGCTCCTTTAGCCCGCGAAGTCTGTCTCTCCCGGTACTTTGTTCGCCACCGGCGCCCGCGCCGCTCGGGACGGGGAGATCCGGCGCGCCTGGCTTTCAAGTGCCACCCGCAGGGAAAGGGAAACCTGCCGCCGCGGCCCCCGGCTCCCCCCTCCCCGGC